GCCTGCAATTTGTCCAGGGAACGAATCCCCGCCAGATGAGCTTGTGTGTGATTGGCTGCTGATGCTCCCTGCTGACCCACTCCCCCGCAGGCTGCAAGGACTATGTCTCCATGGACTCGCTGGTGGAGGTACAGCGCTTTCTTAAGTACGCCATCGCTGCCTATGGCGTCCCGCTCAGCGGCTCCAAGCTAGCATGGACTGTAGCAGCTGCCAGGTGAGGCAGCTGTGCCTGCGCCTGGCTGGCAGTGTGGTCGCAGAGCATGCACTCTGCAAGCTCAGCAGCCCGGCAACTGAGGCACGGTTGTGCTCAGTCATCCAAGCCTGCGGCTGTTGAATGCCTTGCAGAGCGCTGGCCGGTGCCAAGGAGCCTATGCAGCAGCAGCTGCAGGGCGACGCGGCGCTACTGAAGGCATATGTGGCGGCACAGCAGGCTAGTGGGCAGCCGGCCTGCAGCAAGCCTGCTTTCTGCCAGCTTTGTGAGCTACCAAACAGCCAACCACTGCTTGCCGGTCCACCTCCCCTGCAGATTGCCAACATCAGCCGCGATAACTTCATCCACCTCTCCTTTGCCAACGCAGCGCTGGGCCTTACTCCCTACATGATCGTGCTGGACCGGTGGGGATTGCGCTGCCGCTTGGCTGCTTGGCAGGCGCCACCAGATCACCCCTCGCACTTCACAGGGGCAGGGCCTCCAACCGAGCACCATTCCACACAGCTCCATGCATTCTCACTCTCTTGCCACGCAGGGCAAGCCGCACGGTGGTGCTGGCGGTGAGGGGCTCCAACAGCATGGAGGACTTGCTGACCGACATGATGGACAGGCCTGTCAACATCACAGACTGGGTGCCCGCCGCTCTACGCCAGGCAAGGCAGCGGCAGCACCCCTCACGTTTTGCGCTCCTTGCGGTGCTCACTGCGCCCGCTGCCTCTTTGCCTCGTGCGGTGCATGCATGTTCCATTCTTTGCTCCGCCATGCCTGCAGAAGCACCCCGATTGCGCCAGCGACGTCTTTGCCCACATGGGCATGTATTCAGCCGCCAAGGCGGTGCTGCAGGTGTGAGCTGCTGCGCACACATGCGTGCCCATCTTCCAAGCCTTGCTTTCTTCCCTCCATGCATCTCGCCTGCCTCCATGCATCTTGCGGTGCTTGCTCCTGCAACCCCCAAGATCATCCACACAGACACGTGCCCCGCCCGCCCGCCTCCAGGACCTCAACCAGCACCAGATCCTGCCCATCCTGCTGACCGGTGCTCCGCTGGCCTCAGATGAGCGGCAGCGCCAGCAGGCCCGGCACGCCCCCGACGAGCGCCAGCTGCGCTGGCAAGAGCATCGCCTGGCACGGCACAGCCTTGATCCAAATGTGGGACGGGAGGGCAAGAAGCAGAAGCAGGGGCAGAAGGTGCAGCCCGGCCTATGGAGCCGCCAGCTGAGCGGCTGGGACAGCGATCGGTCAGACTGGGGCTCCCTGGCTGGTGGCGACAGCCTGGACCTTCACGCGGCTGTCAGCCTGCCAGCTGGCATCGGCATGGGTGGCGTGTCGTTCCAGGCAGCACCCGAGCAGCAGCGACAGACCCAGGACCTGGGCGGTGCTGCCGGGCACATGTCTGGGGCGTTAGTAGGAGACAAGTTAGGCAATGCCGACCCCGCAGCAGCACATGGCAGCAATGGCAACCATGCCAGCACCATCAGCACACAGGGCGGCAAGGGCGGGTCCCAGCAGCGGCTGGAGGAGCGGCTCTCTCCTGCCGACTACCAGCGCATGCTGCAGGGGCGGGGCCTGGACTGCCGTGGCTGGAAGCTGGTGGTGACGGGGCACAGTCTGGGCGCGGCTGTGGCGGCGCTGGTGGGCATGCACCTGCGCGACTGGTGCCCAGGTATCCTTCCTCCCCATGGGAGCGGGGCTGAGGGGCTGCTATCCCTCTCCGAATCGCCAGCTTGCCTACCAGCACGTGCGTAGCCAGTTCCAGCCATACCTGTGTCGCTCGCCATTGACAGACTCCAGGCCTGGTGCTGCCCCATGCAGGCACCAGGGTGCTGTCCTTCAACCCTCCCGGCGGCATGATCACCCCCAACCTGTCGCATGCCGTGGAGGGCTTTGTGACCAGCGTGTGCGTGGGCAAGGACTCCATCAGCCGCACCGGCACCGTCACCTTTGGCAGGCTGCTGGACCAGATGGTGCTGGCGCTGGCCCGCACCAGGCTGCCCAAGGCCTTCACCCTGCTGAGGCTCAGCTCTGCCACGCTGCGCGAGTGCCCGCCCGACCAGATCTTCCGCCCCGTTGACCAGATCCCGGCAGAGGCGCTGGCCATCGTCAGGCAGTGAGTGCTGGCGCCGAATCTGCATGCCTGCCGCTGCTGCTGCTGCGGCGGCGGCGGCGGCGTTTGCAGACGCTGTCGTTGTGCTGCTATGCTCGCCTTCGACCCACCATTGCTTACCGCACTGATGCGAGGTGCTGTGTGTGCTGTGCCACAGGTATTTTGAGAGCAAGCAGCGATGGGCAGACGTGTTTGTGCCGATGTGCCCGCCGGGCCGCATCCTGCTGCTGCGGCGCCTGAAGGAGGACGCCGCCGCCTTCAAACGGCGGGAGAAGCGTGCGGCAAAGGCGTCGGGCAGGCACCAGGGCCGGCAGAAGCGGCCGGCGGCGCCGCGGCTGCTGTGGTGCCCCAGCTGCAGCGGCACGCTGCTCATGTGGGACGCGGTGTGGGTGCGCCCCGAGCAGATTGCCAGCGAGGGCATCCTGCTGAGCAGGTGTGGCGGAACGGGGTGCGGGCGCCAGCTGTGAGAGTGGCGCCGGGAAACATCATGCCCTTGGGATGGGCAGGCCAGCTGGCCACCTGTGCCCCGCACTGACGCTCTCCCGTCCACTCGCTTCCCCGGCTGGCGAGCCGGCCGCTCACACGTGCCTCCCCGCCTCCCCCGCCTGCCCTGTGCAGCACGCAGGCCTCAGACCACTTCACCTCGACGCTCACCTTTGTGCTGGACCACCTGACGGGGCAGGAGACCATCACGGGGCAGCCGCAGCCGCCGCCGCAGGCAGAGCCGCCAAGCTGACTTGGGCGGCGGCGGTGCTAGAAGCCACCGCAGCACCTGTGCCGGGTTGTATTTGTCCCCAGTCATTTTTGTTGTACGAGAGGCCCATTTCATTCCAAAACTGAAACTTTCCTGATTCCCTGCCAGGAAAACCTTACACCGCATTTCTGTGCACTGCGAGTAATGATTCAAGAAACTGCACAACTGGCTGTGTCCCCACGCAGGCAGGGCCGCACCACCATCAGCCGCCGTCCTCGCCGCCATGCCCGCCGCCCTTCCGCCGCCACCACTTCTCCCGCCGCTGCTTGCGCCGCCGCAGCCGCGCCTCCTCCTCCGCGGCTTGCCGCTCAGCCTCCTCCGACGGCTCCCCTCCCATCATCACACCGCTGTCGCCACCCAGCAGCATGGCCAAAGGGTCTGCCAAAGGGTCCTCACTGCTGCTGCCGGCCTCGCTGCCACCCCCGCCAGCCACGCCGTCTCCGACATCCCCCGCCGCCGCAGCTAGCGCCCGCTGCACCGCCCCCTGCTGCGCCGCCGGCCGGTCTGTGATGACCAGGCCGCCGCCGCGGGCGACGCTCGCCGCGCTGCCGCCGCCCGCCACCGCCGACACGCCGGCCGCGGCGGCCGCCCCCGCCGCTGCAGCCACCTCGTACTCGACTGAGTGGCTGCGCGGCTGCTGCGGCCGCACTGACCCCACCTTGCCGGCGCTGGCAGCTGCTGCGGCGCCGCCGCCCTGCTGAATCTCACCCATCATCTCCTCGCGGTGCCGCAGCATCTGGAACAGCCGCTCATCTGCCTGCTCGTTGGCTGCGGCAGCGGGAGCGAAGGCGGCGGGAGTTGGGGAGGAGGCGAGAGGGAGGAGGCGAGCGGGTGGAGTGAGAGGGGGCCGGGCAACGCTAGTGCCGCTGCACGCCACCCGCTGCACGCCACCCGGCAGCCCCTCCCCCCTCCCTGCCGCGGCCCCCAGGGGTGCAGGCCCTCACCTCGGTCCACCTCCTGCCCCTGCTTGGCCTGCGCCAGCTCGCGCCGCAGGTGGGCGATGCGGGCGAGGCGGTTGGCCTCGCACACGATGCGGGGGCGGCTGCCATCCTCGTTCAGCTCGGTAGGGGGCTGCTCCTG